GATTAAAACTTCTGGAGCTATGTATTGTAAAACACCATAAACTCCTTTTGATTCTAGATGCATGTTTTCCGATATTAAAAGCCCTAAATCTGCAATATATGCATTAGTTAGGCTATTTTGTAATATATTGCCGCTATGTAAATCTCTATGAATAAGATTTTGAGAATGTATAGTCTGAAGATCAAGTACAATGCAAAGCAATAAAGTTAATTTGTCTTTCCATTTCATTTGCGCTATGGAAAGTAAGTTATCTCGTAGAGAACCCTTAGATGCATATTCAGTTACAATGATATAATCCTCCGAAATGTTATCTTTTGAAATGCCATAACATTTTAAAAATGTGGGATTTTCATTACTCATATCAACGCATGCTTTCAACTTAATCACCACCATATTAAAAGATTAAAATACATTAGGCCATTATATAAAAAGAGAAATAGCAAATTATTTGTATTAAGACTCAAATGAAACATTACCTCTTTTATAAATTCACTATGATTATTTTTTGAGTTATGGATCAATTTAAGTGCAACATCTCTTGATGCGTTATTTTGATCCTGCCATGTGGAATAAAATACTGTTGAAAATTCTCCTTGTCCTACTGCTTTTATATTTTTTAACTCTTCATAAGGAATCCATAATAATTGATAATTTTCTTCAATGAATAGCCTTTTCAAATCATCATCTATCTCAAAACTTTGTATCCATTCATTTTTAACTAAAAAATTTCCAAACCAATATTATATAATCTTATTATTGTAAATAAATACTATTAATTAAGTAACAATTAATTACCTGAAGAAATGGTTTCTCCCCTAATTTTAAATTTAAATAGATTATTCATATAAATTTATAAATATAAAGATACATTAATATAACACTTACATTTGAGACCAATAATCAGCTATTTGTAAGTCTTTTGCTATTCCAATTCCCTTTCTATAACAATTGCTAAGAGCATACATCCCGTTAATGTTTCCCATTTTTGATAATTTTTTATAATAAATGAACGCCTTACGCTCATTCTTCTTTACTCCAATGCCGTCTTCATAACAAATGCCAACACGAAAAATTCCATCAACATTCCTCATCTTTGCTGATTTTTCATAATAAATAAATGCGTTATGCTTATTTTTTTCAACTCCAATTCCATTTTCATAACAATTGCCAAGACAATATGTTCCAGCAGCATGCCCTAATTTTGCAGAGTTTTTATAGCAATCAAATGCTTTGTATTCATTTTTTTTTACTCCAATACCTTTTTCATAAAAAATACCCATATAAAATATACCATTAGAACTTTTCATTTTATCAAATCCTTTTATGTAACCCATATCAGCAGATTTTTTGTAATTTATAAATGCCTTATAGTCATTTGTTTCAACTCCTATTCCATTTTCATAACAAAATCCAATCTGAAATATTCCACCCGCATCCAAAATAGCTGCAGATTTTTGATAATAATTAAATGCCTGATATTCATTCTTTTCAATTCCAATTCCATTTTCATAACAACGTCCAAGATTATATATTCCATCAGCATGTCCCATATCTGCTGATTTTTGATAATATTCAAATGCTTTCTTTATATCTTTTTGAACTCCTATTCCATTTTCATGATAACGTCCAAGATTATATATTCCATCAGCATGTCCCATATCTGCTGATTCTTGATAACATTCGAACGCTTTCTTCGTATCTTTTTTAACTCCTACTCCATTTTCATAATAGCGCCCAAGATTATATATTCCATCAGCATGTCTTATATCTGCTGATTTTTGATAATATTCAAATGCTTTCTTTATATTTTTTTCAACTCCTATCCCGTATTGATAACAACGTACAACATTATATATTCCATCAGCATGTCCCATATCTGCTGATTTTTTGTAATTTATAAATGCCTTATAGTTTTTTTTCTCAACTCCAATTCCATTTTCATAACAACGTCCAAGATTATACATTCCACCCGCATCTACCATAGCTGCAGATTTATGATAATAAATGAATGCATGATATTCATTCCTTTTAGCTCCAATTCCATTTTCATAGCAACGTCCAAGATTAAATATTCCATCGGCATGTCCCATATCTGCTGATTTTTGATAATATTCAAATGCCTCATTTACATTTTTTTCAACTTCTATCCCGTATTGATAACAACGTGCAACATTATACATTCCATCAACATGATCCATATCAGCTGATTTTTGATAATATTCAAATGCCTTCTTGATATCTTTTTCAACTCCTATTCCATTTTCATAACAACGTCCAAGATTATATATTCCATCAGCATGTCCCATATCTGCTGATTCTTGATAATATTCAAATGCTTTCTTTATATCTTTTTCGACTCCTATTCCATTTTCATAACAACATCCAAGATTACATATTCCATCAGCATGTCCCATATCTGCTGATTTTTTGTAATTTATAAATGCCTCATAGTTTTTTTTCTCAACTCCAATTCCATTTTCATAACAACGTCCAAGATTATATATTCCATCAGGATGCCCCATATTTGCAGATTTTTGATAATATACAAATGCTTTCTTTGTGTCTTTTCTAACTCCTATTCCATTTTCATAACAACGTCCAAGATTATATATTCCATCAAGATGCCCCATATTAGCAGATTTTTGATAATATTCAAATGCCTCATTTACATTTTTTTCAACTCCTATCCCGTATTGATAACAACGTACAACATTATACATTCCATCAACATGTCCCATATCTGCGGATTTTTGATAATATTCTAATGCTTTCTTTGTATCTGTTTTAACACTTATTCCGTTCTCATAATAACGTCCAAGATTATATGCAACATCAGCATGTCCCATATCTGCTGATTTTTGATAATATTCAAATGCTTCCTTTATATCTTTTTCAACTCCTATTCCATTTTCATAACAACGTCCAAGGTTATATATTCCATCAATATGTCCCATATCTGTAGACTTTCGATAATATTCGAATGCTTTCTTTATATCTTTTGCAACGCCTATTCCATTTTCATAACAACATCCAAGATTATATATTCCATTAGCATGTCCCATATCTGCTGATTTTTTATAATATTTAAATGCTTTCAATATATCTTTTTCAACTCCTATTCCATTTTCATAACAACGTCCAAGATTACATATTCCATCAGCATGTCCCATATCTGCTGATTTTTTGTAATTTATAAATGCCTTATAGTCTTTTTTTCTCAACTCCAATTCCATTTTCATAACAACGTCCAAGATTATATATTCCATTAGCATGTCTCATATCTGCTGATTTTTGATAATATTCGAACGCTTTCTTTGTATCTTTTTCAACTCCTATTCCATTTTCATTACAACGTCCAAGATTATATATTCCATCAGGATGCTTCATATCTGCAGATTTTTGATAATATTTGAATGCCCTTTTTGTATCTGTTTTAACACTTATTCCGTTCTCATAACAACGTCCAAGATTATACATTCCATCAACATGTCTTATATCTGCGGTTTTTTGATAATATTCAAATGCTTTCTTTATATCTTTTTCAACACCTATTCCATTTTCATAACAACATCCAAGATTATTTATTCCATCAGCATGTCCCATATCTGCTGATTTTTGATAATATTCGAATGCTTTCTTTACATCAGGTCTAACACTTATTCCGTTCTCATAACAACGTCCAAGATTATATGCACCATCAGCATGTCCCATATCCGCAGATTTTTGATAATATTCAAATGCCTTCTTTCTATCTTTTCTGACTCCTATTCTATTTTCATAACAGTGTCCAACATTACATATTCCATCAGGATGCCCCATATCTGCAGATTTTTGATGATATTTAAATGCTTCCTTTATATCTTTTTCAACTCCTATCCCGCATTGATAACAACGAGCAACATCATGCATTCCATCTACGTATCCCATGTCAGCGGATTTTTGATAATATTTGAATGCCTTATTTGTATCAGTTTTAACACTTATTCCATTTTCATAACAACGTCCAAGGTTATGCATTCCAACAGCATGTCCCATATCTGCTGATTTGTGATAATATTCAAATGATTTCTTTATATCTTTTTCAACCCCTATTCCATTTTCATAACAACGTCCAAGATTATATATTCCATCAGCATGTCCCATATCTGCAGATTTTTGATAATATTCAAATGCTTTCTTTGTATCTTTTTTAACTCCTATTCCATTTTCATAACAACGTCCAAGATTATATATACCATCAAGATGCCCCATATTAGCAGATTTTTGATAATATTCAAATGCCTCATTTACATTTTTTTCAACTCCTATTCCGTATTGATAACAACGTGCAACATTATACATTCCATCAACATGTCCTATATCTGCGGATTTTTGATAATATTTGAATGCCCTTTTTGTATCTGTTTTAACACTTATTCCGTTCTCATAGCAACGTCCAAGATTATATATTCCATCAGCATGTCTCATATCTGCTGATTTTTGATAATATTCAAATGCTTTCTTTATGTCTTTTTCAGTTCCCATTCCATTTTCATGACAACGTCCAAGGTTATATGCACCATCAGCATGTCTCATATCCGCAGATTTTTGATAATATTCAAATGCCTTCTTTATATCTTTTTCGACTCCTATTCTATTTTCATAACAGCGTCCAAGATTATATATTCCATCAGCATGCCCCATGTCTGTATACTTTCGATAATATTCGAATGCCTTCTTTATATCTTTTTCAACTCCTATTCCATTTTCATAGCAACGTCCAAGATTATATATTCCATCAGCATGTCCTATATCTGCTGATTTTTGATAATACTCGAATGCCTTCTTTATGCTTTTTTCAACTCCCATTCCATTTTCATAACAACGTCCAACATTATATATGCCATCAACATGTCCTATATCTGCTGATTTTTTATAATATTTAAATGCTTTCAATATATCTTTTTCAACTCCTATTCCATTTTCATAACAACGTCCTTCCAAAATATTATCGCTTAATTTTAACTTCTTACAAATATCATTGCATCTATGATTTGCCAAAAAACATTTTTGAATTCCACTCTTTCCTAAATTTGTTTTTCCAAATCTTAACAAATCAGCACAATGTATAGCTGGATCTGTTAGCAAGAACTCATTACTAAGATCGACTCCTTGTAAGTCATAAACTACCAAATATCCTTCAGTGCATTTATACGTGAAATGAGCAAATGCCTCAAGAATTGGATGAAATTCTGTAATTAAACCATTATTTGCATTAAATTTTTTAAATTCTACATTATTGATATATTTTTCAACAGAGTAGCAAGTATTATCTGTCTCATCGTATAAGACTTTTGCATCAATAAATATAACTTTTTTATTGACACCAACTTGCTCTGCGGCTATATTGAATATTGTTGAAAAAAAAATAAGCAACATTAGAGATTTCCACTGATTCTAAATACCTTTCTATTGTGCCTATTTTAATGTCGTGATACTTTTTTATCACTAATTTATCAGCTCGACCAAGGCTTGTATCAAGAGAAAAATAAGCATATCGTTCAGCACCGACGGAGAATGGTTGCGGTGCAAGTTTAAAAGTTATGTCTTGTTCAATATAACTTGAATTAATAAAATAATATTCATCTTTAACTTCAGCCAGAGATTTAGGTGGAATATAATATAAAATTTTTCCTGTTTTCTCTGGATGAGTGGTCCAATCAGGTTCGTTTGGATTGATTTGAAGTTTTTTTCGTTGCAAAGAGTATATGCTTTTCGAGTTTCTTAAAGTTGTGGTTAGTGTAATAGAAGAAAAAATGGCTGAAGAAGTAGCCTTGCAAAATTTATTAACCAATGCCTCAGGATTAGATTTTGCATTCATAAGATCAAATATAGGAAACTCTCCAATTATTTCGCGAAATACATTAATCATGACATCAGTATAATTATTAATTTTTCCAAAGTAGTATAAAATCTTTTTTGATTGCATCTTCCTTAACACACTTTCTGCAGTTAGACCATTCGGGTCACCGTCTGGATAATTATCAGATAAGTTGGTAAAACGACGACCATGTGATGGCGCATCGCCAATATGAATAATAACACGAGTTGCATTGCTCCATGTCATCTCAGTTATCGCAGCATCAAGACCACCTAAAACATCTTCTGGTTCATCATTGCCACCTATAGCCGTCACTTTGTTGGTTAAGTACATTTTAAATTTCTCGAGAGAACTAGTAAAATCAAAAATTTGTAAGCGACCACTACCATCAGAGTGATCACGATAACCACAGAAACCAACCCAGAATTCGATATTTGAATTATTGCTGTTTATGTAACTAGCCACTTTCAATATATGCTCTTTTGCTGCTTCGATATGACTAGACATGGAGCCTGTACAGTCCAGAACAAAGCAGAGATCTAAGTTCATTGAATCTTCAATTTTAACAATTGCCTTTGACGCATCATTTTCTCTGTTTTTTCGTAAATATGAAACTTTGTCTTTTAATGTTGATATACTACTACTTTGGCCTATTTCATCTTCGTAACGCTTAAAACGTTTTTCTAAGAGTTTCATATTGTTTTCGCTGCAATCGGTTCCCATTTTTTCATTCTCTAATTAACAAAAACAATTTAGTATAATTCTTTTGTGAAATTACGTAGAAGAATTCTGTTCTTATTGTCCGGAGTGTAAAGAGTAATTACGTAAGCATAAAACTATTTGACTTGTGTACTCTTTGTGCCCATATTTGGGGTCACGAATTTTTGTTTACACGGATCAGCGACTTTGTGTGCAAACGTATGCGTGCATTTGTGATCATGATCATTACCTAACACTTTACCATACTATAATATTTATGTGTAATATTATTCGATTGATTTTCGTTGGTGTTGTCAATTATGTATTGTACCTATAGATGTGCCATTTATATGATATCTGATTTTTTTTCGCGTACAGTGCGTACAGTGCGTATAGTTGTATAGTGTGTATAGCATACGTAATACACATAATAAATGTAGCACTTATAAATCAATTATATGCAAAATTGTGCAAGGAATAATTTTTGTTAGAATGCGAAAGACAGTTTGATAATCAAAATTTCGAGATAGGGATACTTTAATGATTTGTTCTAGAACATTCTAAAAATTTTTTTGCGTACTGTATGTACGCGTCACATCACTAATTGTACCTAGGGGTGGGTCCGGTCATCATCCCCAGTATCGCCATAAAATTCTACTATCACGTGATGATCGAACAATTCTTTAAGGGAAAAGCTACGGGCACAACATTTTACGTGACATTGTCTTATCGGCACAACAGGATTGACCAATAAGAACCCAAAAAATTTTAACGTAATTTTAACCAATCAACATTGTGTAGATCAGTTATCTAATTTACTATTAACATGTCACATAAATTGATTGTACGAACGCGTAATTTGTAAATTGATTATCTAATGCTTTGCATATTATAATACCACTTTTTAATTTTTGCCTCTTGAATAACGAACATTAATAACCATGCAAAAATCAAATAGTCTGAACAATTCTTCGTATTATAGTGTTAACTTATTTACTATTTCAGCTTCAAATCATACTAATAAGTGTGAATTGAAGGAAGACAGAATTAGCTTAAACGAAGAAGAATATGGTTTGAAAAATGAAGTTTGGACGGGTCAATGTAAGATAAAGTTGTAATAACTATGCAAATTTTAATAGTCAGAATAATTCTTTGTGTGCAGTGTAATACTTTGCAAAATCAATTTAAAATTTGAATTTGATTCAAATATTTTCAAATATTTGATTCAAATTCAAACTTTGACTTGGTTTTGCAAAGGACTAGTGCTGTGTTAACTTATTTAATATTCCAGCTTCAAATAATAACAAGTGTGAATTGGAGGAAGATGAAATTAGCTTAAATGAGAAAGAATATAGTACAAAAAGTAAAGTTTGGACAGGTTAATATAAGATGAGTTGTAATATTTTTAATATAGTATAACTTAAATTATATTGTAATTGCTATTATTAATATCTTTTTTTTTTTTTTTTACAAGCAACAATAGTTGTTGGGCAAAATTATAATACAAAAAAGGATATTCTTAACATTGCTCAAAAGAATACAAAAAATTTTGGGTTTGCTGTCTCAACTAAAAGTAGCAGTTCTCATCATCTTTATATCCAATGCAAATGTGGTGATTAGCCTAAAAATTGTTGGGATCTAACAATAGATAAATGAAAAAGAAAAAAGATGAATAAGCATTGTGAATGTCCTTATTTAATAAAAGCAATTCTCAATAATTCTAAATGGCGTGTTGCAGAAATTATAAATGAACATAATCATCCAATAGTAAAAGATGTATGAGTTTTTCATGAACATCATCAATTAACATGAGATACAAGACATATTGTTGTAAAAATGTTAAAAGCAGGTTCAAAACCTAGCATAGTCTATGAGACTATTAGAAGTGAAGATGGAACTCCAACTGCAACATGAAAAGATATATCCAATTTAAGTACATAAATTAATTTTTAGAAGAAACAGTGTCAATAACAGCATTAATAAATGGTATAGAAGAAAGAGGGTATACTGTCGCTATGAAACTTATAAAAAAAAATATTTTATGTTTTTATTTTATTTATTATTATTTCAGTAAACTAATAACAATATTATTATAGATGGACAAATTAAGTATTTATTTTTTTGTCATAAGGAATCTATTAAAAATACCAGATATTTTTCTGAAGTTATTTTAATTAATACAACATATAAAACCAATATATACAAGTTGCTATTTGTAAACTTTGTTGGTATTAGTAACCTTGGAATTAATTATTTGTATACTTTTGGCATCACTGGTGCCTGGATTTCAGATGAATCTGAAAAATCATATATCTGGATTATTGAACATCTTACTTCGCTTATTTTTTTTAATATTTTTCCTTCTGTATTTGTCACAGACAATGATCTTGCACTTATTGGTGCTCTTGGAAAAGTATTTCCTAAATCTGAACACCTTTTATGCACCTGGCATATAATGAATAATTCTAAAAAAATTTAAAAAAGCATTTTAGTAATATTTTATTTGATGAAGTTGTAAAGGTAATAGACAACTTTATTTATTCGAGAGATTGTGATGCATTAAATGCTGTGATAACAACTAATAAGAAGCTGGATTTATCAAGTTCTAATGAAAGTGAAGTTTTAAAATATCTTGACAGGTAAGTTTTATATTATCTTTAAAATTTATTTGTTTATTTATTTTATTTTATTATTATTATTATTATTTTTTTATTTATTTATTTTTTTTTTTTGATATTAAGGTGACCTCTTTGGTCTTTTGACTTTTATTAATCACTTATCGGTATTGTGGTTCAA